CAGACACTGAACACTGCTCACACCATCAGACACTCAACACTGCTCACACCGTCAGACACTCAACACTGCTCAAAACCAGTCAGACACTGAACACTGCTCACACCAGTCAGACACTGAACACTGCTCACACCAGTCAGACACTCAACACTGCTCACACCAGTCAGACACTCAACACTGCTCACACCAGTCAGACACTCAACACTGCTCACACCAGTCAGACACTGAACACTGCTCACACCAGTCAGACACTCAACACTGCTCACACCAGTCAGACACTGAACACTGCTCACACCAGTCAGACACTGAACACTGCTCACACACAGCATCAGACACTGAACACTGCTCACACCAGTCAGACACTGAACACTGCTCACACCAGTCAGACACTGAACACTGCTCACACCAGTCAGACACTCAACACTGCTCACACCAGCTCAGACACTGAAACTGCTCACACCAGTCAGACACTCAACACTGCTCACACCAGTCAGACACTGAACACTGCTCACACCAGTCAGACACTCAACACTGCTCACACCAGTCAGACACTGAACACTGCTCACACACCAGTCAGACACTGAACACTGCTCACCCCGAGTCAGACACTCAACACTGCTCACACCACCAGACACTGAACACTGCTCACACCAGTCAGACACTCAACACTGCTCACACCAGTCAGACACATGAACACTGCTCACACCATCAGACACTGAACACTGCTCACACCAGCCAGACACTAACACTGCTCACACCAGTCAGACACTCAACACTGCTCACACCAGCCCAGACACTCAAACACTGCTCACACCAGTCAGACACATAACACTGCTCACACCAGTCAGACACTGAACACTGCTCACACCATCAGACACTGAACACTGCTCACACCCACCAACTGCTAAAGTGACACTAACACTGCTCACACCATCAGACACTGAACACTGCTCACACCAGTCAGACACTCAACACTGCTCACACCATCAGACACTCAACACTGCTCACCACCATCAGACACTAACACTGCTCACACCATCAGACACTCAACACTCCTCACACCAGTCGGACACTGAACACTGCTCACACCAGTCAGACACTAACACTGCTCACACCAGTCAGACACTGAACACTGCTCACACCAGTCAGACACTAACACTGCTCACCACCAGTCAAAACGCACTCAAACACTGCTCACACCATTCAACACTGAACACTGCTCACACCAGTCAGACACTCAACACTGCTCACACCAGTCAACACTAACACTGCTCACACCAGTCAGACACTCAACACTGCTCACAACCAGTCAGACACTGAACACTGCTCACACCAGTCAGACACTGAACACTGCTCACACCAGTCAGACACTGAACACTGCTCACACCAGTCAGTACACTCACACTGCCACACACCAGTCAGACACTAACACTGCTCACATCAGTCAGACACTAACACTGCTCACACCAGTCAGACACTGAACACTGTCACACCAGTCAGACACTGAACACTGCTCACACCAGTCAGACACTAACACTGCTCACCCAGTCAGACACTGAACACTGCTCACACCAGTCAGACACTAAATCACTGCTCACACCAGTCAGACACTGAACACTGCTCACACCAGTCAGACACTGAAACACTGCTCACACCAGTCAGACACTAAACACTGCTCATCCAGTCAGACACTCAACACTGCTCACACCAGTCAGACACTGAACACTGCTCACACCAGTCAGACACTGAACACTGCTCACACCATCAGACACTCAACACTGCTCACACCAGTCAGACACTGAACACTGCTTCTCACCAGTCAGACACTAACACTGCTCAAAACCAGTCAGACACTCAACACTGCTCACACCAGTCAGACACTGAACACTGCTCACACCAGTCAGACACTCTCAACACTGCTCACACCAGTCAGACACTGAACACTGCTCACACCAGTCAGACACTCAACACTGCTCACACCAGTCAGACACTCAACACTGCTCACACCAGTCAGACACTGAACACTGCTCACACCAGTCAGACACTGAACACTGCTCACAACCAGTCAGACACTGAACACTGCTCACACCAGTCAGACACTGAACACTGCTCACACCAGTCAGACACTCAACACTGCTCACACCAGTCAGACACTGAACACTGCTCACACCAGTCAGACACTCAACACTGCTCACACCAGTCAGACACTCAACACTGCTCACATACCAGTCAGACACTCAACACTGCTCACACCAGTCAGACACTGAACACTGCTCACACCAGTCAGACACTCAACACTGCTCACACCAGTCAGACACTCAACACTGCTCACACCAGTCAGACACTGAACACTGCTCACACCAGTCAGACACTCAACACTGCTCACGACCATCAGACACTCAACACTGCTCACACCATCAGACACTCAACACTGCTCACCCAGTCAACACTGAACACTGCTCACACCAGTCAGACACTCAACACCTGCTCACACCAGTCAGACACTCAACACTGCTCACACCAGTCAGACACTAACACTGCTCACACCATCCTTATAACTTTTATCATATATTTATAGCTGTCACACAAATCAGACCTCAACCTACACAACCAACAGACACTGAACACTGCTCACACCATCAACCTAACACTGCTACTAACCATCAGACCAACTCAACACGCTCACTACCATAGACATAAAACCTCTAACACTCTCACACCTGTCAACACTCAACACTACTAACTAACCATTCAACACTCAACCTTCTCAACACCACTCGCTTATTTTAATTAATCTTTTAATCATATTTATAGCTTTTCTGTCGTGTTACTAACCTTAACCTAACCTAACCTAACTAACCTAACCTAACCTTACCTAACCTAACCTAACCTAACCTAAACCTAACCTAACCTAATCTAACCTAACCTAACCTAACCTAACCCAACCCAACCCAACCCAACCCAACCCAACCTAACCTAACCTAACCTAACCTAACCTAACCCAACCTAACCCAAAACCCAACCCACAACCCAACCCAACAACCTAACCTAACCTAATCTAACCTAACCTAAACTAACCTAAACCTAACCTAATCTAATCTAACCTAACCTAAACTAACCTAACCTAACCTAACCTAAATCTAATCTAACCTAACCTAACCTAACCTAAACCTAACCTAACCTAACCTAACCTAAACTAACCTAACCAACCCAACCCAACCTAACCTAACCTAACCTAACCTAACCTAACCTAACCTAACCTAACCTAACCTAACCTAATCTAATCTAACCTAACCTAAACTAACCTAACCTAACCTAACCTAACCTAAACTAACCTAACCTAACCTAACCTAACCTAATCTAACCTAACCTAACCTACCCTACCCAAATCTTTACTCCTTTGGTTCGCTTGTAGCCTCTACCTCTCCTCTGAGAATACCTCCTCTTACAGACTTTCTGGTTTTTCCTTGTAAGTTCTCCTCCTTCCTTCTTCATCCTGATTACCTGGACTTTAGCTGTTGTCTTCCTCCTGATGCGGATATATAACAACTTGAGGTTGGATTTGGCTGTATTTGATATGTCATTTTCAAATTGTTATTGATTCTCTCTTCTCATCCATTTATAATCGTTTCTGGCTTTTCTGCTCAATTACTTGTTTTCCTGAGTTGTTCGACTCATGACTGAGTCATCCCCTTACCGTACTGGTGCACTTTCCACTGTTAATTCCACAAGGTATTCAAAACTCAGGACTACGTGATTACTAGCTCCGAGAGGCTTTTCATATGTAACATCCCCACATGTCGAAACCACCATATTTCCGGTCATCCATGTGACGCTGGGTTCTTTACCGTCTCCTCGGGTTATTAAAATCACCCATGATCAGCAACTTTGCCCTGCTCATGTGGGCCCTTTTGGCCACCTCAGCTAGTGTATGTTAGTTAGTTACCATTTTGAATGTGTGTATGTGTGTGTGTGTGTGTGTGTGTGTGTGTGTGTGTGTGTGTGTGTGTGTGTGTGTGTGTGTACTCACCTATTTGTGGTTGCAGGGGTCGAGTCTTAGCTCCTGGCCCCGCCTCTTCACCGGTTGCTACTGGGCCCTCTCTCTCCCCGCTCCATGAGCTTTATCAAACCTCGTCTTAAAACTGTGTATGGTTCCTGCCTCCACTACGTCATTTTCTAGGCTATTCCACTGCCTTACAACTCTATGACTGAAAAATACTTCCTAATATCTCTCTGACTCATTTGTGTCTTCAACTTCCAATTGTGGCCTCTTTTTCTGTGTCCCCTCCCTGGAACATCCTGTCTTTGTCCACCTTGTCTATTCCACGCAGTATTTTATATGTCGTTATCATGTCTCCCCTGACCCTCCTGTCCTCCAGTGTCGTCAGGCCGATTTCCTTAATCTTTCTTCATAGACATTCCCCTTAGCTCTGGAACTAACCTTGTGGCAAACCTTTGTACTTTCTCTAGTTTCTTGGCGTGCTTTATCAAGTGGGGGTTCCAACAGGTGCTGCATACTCCAGTATGGGCCTGACATACACGGTGTACAGTGTCTTGAACGATCCTTACTAAGGTATCTGAATGCTGTTCTCAGGTTTGCCAGGCGCCCATATGCTGCAGCAGTTATCTGATTGATGTGTGCTTTCCGGAGACATGCTCGGTGTTATACTCACCCCAAGATCTTTCTCCTTGAGTGAGGTTTGCAATCTTTGGCCACCAGCCTATACTCTGTCTGTGGTCTTCTATGCCCTTCCCCTATCTTCATGACTTTGCATTTGTGTGTGTGTGTGTGTGTGTGTGTGTGTGTATGTGTGTGTTGTGTGTGTGTGTGTGTGTGTTTTGTGTGTGTGTGTGTGTGTGTTGTGTGTGTGTTGTGTGTGTGTGTGTGTGTGTGTGTGATGTCATTTTTTTATATCTCCTGTCCCTCCTAACTGCATAAATGCCCGTATGAGCTTACTGCAGCCAGGGAGCTGAGAGGTGTCATGTCTCAGCTGACAGGTATCATGTCTCAGGTGATGAGCGGGTGCCTGGGTCCTGGTGAGTACCACAGGTACCTGACACAGGTATCTGCAGCCCGCCGTAGATGCGACGCTCAGCCTGCTGCCTCTCTGCTGAGTGGCAGACGCTCCTCCTTCTCCTCATACTCCTTCTACGACCCCTACTCTACTGAGCAGGTGAGTGTCTTACTCTGCTGAGCAGGTGAGTGTCTTACTCTACTGAGCAGGTGAGTGTCTTACTCTGCTGAGCAGGTGAGTGTCTTACTCTACTGAGCAGGTGAGTGTCTTACTCTGCTGAGCAGGTGAGTGTCTTACTCTACTGAGCAGGTGAGTGTGAGTGTCTTACTCTACTGAGCAGGTGAGTGTGTGTGTCTTACTCTACTGAGCAGGTGAGTGTGAGTGTCTTACTCTACAGAGCAGGTGAGTGTGAGTGTCTTACTCTACTGAGCAGGTGAGTGTGAGTGTCTTACTCTACTGAGCAGGTGAGTGTGAGTGTCCTACTCTACTGAGCAGGTGAGTGTGAGTGTCTTACTCTACTGAGCAGGTGAGTGTGAGTGTCTTACTCTACTGAGCAGGTAGTGTGAGTGTCTTACTCTACTGAGCAGGTGAGTGTGAGTGTCTTACTCTACTGAGCAGGTGAGTGTGAGTGTCTTACTCTACTGAGCAGGTGAGTGTGAGTGTCCTACTCTACTGAGCAGGTGAGTGTGAGTGTCTTACTCTACTGAGCAGGTGAGTGTGTGTGTCTTACTCTACTGAGCAGGTGAGTGTGAGTGTCTTACTCTACTGAGCAGGTGAGTGTGAGTGTCTTACTCTACTGGAGCAGGTGAGGTCTTACTCTACTGAGCAGGTGAGTGTGAGTGTCTTACTCTACTGAGCAGGTGAGTGTGAGTGTCTTACTCTACTGAGCAGGTGAGTGTGAGTGTCTTACTCTACTGAGCAGGTGAGTGTGAGTGTCCTACTCTACTGAGCAGGTGAGTGTGAGTGTCTTACTCTACTGAGCAGGTGAGTGTGAGTGTCTTACTCTACTGAGAAAGGTGAGTGTGAGTGTCTTACTCTACTGAGCAGGTGAGTGTGAGTGTCTTACTCTACTGAGCAGGTGAGTGTGAGTGTCTTACTCTACAGAGCGGGTTTAGTGTGAGTGTCTTACTCTACTGAGCAGGTGAGTGTGAGTGTCTTACTCTACTGAGCAGGTTAGTGTGAGTGTCTTACTCTACTGAGCAGGTGAGTGTGAGTGTCTTACTCTACAGAGCAGGTTAGTGTGAGTGTCTTACTCTACTGAGCAGGTGAGTGTGAGTGTCTTACTCTACTGAGCAGGTTAGTGTGAGTGTCTTACTCTACTGAGCAGGTGAGTGTGAGTGTCTTACTCTACAGAGCAGGTTAGTGTGAGTGTCTTACTCTACTGAGCAGGTGAGTGTGAGTGTCTTACTCTACTGAGCAGGTTAGTGTGAGTGTCTTACTCTACTGAGCAGGTGAGTGTGAGTGTCTTACTCTACTGAGCAGGTTAGTGTGACTGTCTTACTCTACTGAGCAGGTTAGTGGTAGTGTCTTACTCTACTGAGCAGGTGGAGTGTGAGTGTCTTACTCTACTGAGCAGGTGAGTGTGAGTGTCTTACTCTACTGAGCAGGTGAGTGTGAGTGTCTTACTCTACTGAGCAGGTGAGTGTGACTGTCTTACTCTACTGAGCAGGTGAGTGTGAGTGTCTTACTCTACTGAGCAGGTGAGTGTGAGTGTCTTACTCTACTGAGCAGGTGAGTGTGAGTGTCTTACTCTACTGAGCAGGTGAGTGTGAGTGTCTTACTCTACTGAGCAGGTGAGTGTGAGTGTCTTACTCTACTGAGCAGGTGAGTGTGAGTGTCTTACTCTACTGAGCAGGTGAGTGTGAGTGTCTTACTCTACTGAGCAGGTGAGTGTGAGTGTCTTACTCTACTGAGCAGGTGAGTGTGAGTGTCTTACTCTACTGAGCAGGTGAGTGTGAGTGTCTTACTCTACTGAGCAGGTGAGTGTGAGTGTCTTACTCTACTGAGCAGGTGAGTGTGAGTGTCTTACTCTACTGAGCAGGTGAGTTTGAGTGTCTTACTCTACTGAGCAGGTGAGTGTGTGTTCTTACTCATACTGAGCAGGTGAGTTTGAGTGTCTTACTCTACTGAGCAGGTGAGTGTGAGTGTCTTACTCTACTGAGCAGGTGAGTGTGAGTGTCTTATTCTACTGAGCAGGTGAGTGTCTTACTCTACTGAGCAGGTGAGTGTGTGTGTCTTACTCTCCTGAGCAGGTGAGTGTGAGTGTCTTACTCTACTGAGCAGGTGAGTGTGAGTTTCTTACTCTACTGAGCAGGTGATTGTGAGTGTCTTACTCTACTGAGCAGGTGAGTGTGAGTGTCTTACTCTACTGAGCAGGTGAGTGTGAGTGTCTTACTCTACTGAGCAGGTGAGTGTCTTACTCTACTGAGCAGGTGAGTGTGTGTGTCTTACTCTACTGAGCAGGTGAGTGTGAGTGTCTTACTCTACTGAGCAGGTGAGTGTGTGTGTCTTACTCTCCTGAGCAGGTGAGTGTGAGTGTCTTACTCTACTGAGCAGGTGAGTGTCTTACTCTACTGAGCAGGTGAGTGTGAGTGTCTTACTCTACTGAGCAGGTGAGTGTGAGTTTCTTACTCTACTGAGCAGGTGATTGTGAGTGTCTTACTCTACTGAGCAGGTGAGTGTGAGTGTCTTACTCTACTGAGCAGGTGAGTGTCTTACTCTACTGAGCAGGTGAGTGTGTGTGTCTTACTCTACTGAACAGGTGAGTGTGAGTGTCTTACTCTACTGAGCAGGTGAATGTGAGTGTCTTACTCTACTGAGCAGGTGAGTGTGAGTGTCTTACTCTACTGAGCAGGTGAGTGTCTTACTCTACTGAGCAGGTGAGTGTGAGTGTCTTACTCTACTGAGCAGGTGAGTGTGAGTGTCTTACTCTACTGAGCAGGTGAGTGTGAGTGTCTTACTCTACTGAGCCGATAAGTGCGAGAATCATTCTTTCTTCCATATATTTGCACAACGTATTTCATATACACTCTGATATACACGCCTCTGAATGCATATGTCCTCAGTGATATACACCTCTCAGTCCATTCAGTAAATATATACCCAGAAATACACACCTTTCAGTGCATATACACCCAGAAATACACACCTGTCAGTGCATATACACCCAGAAATACACACCTCTCGGTACATATACACCCAGAAATACACACCTCTCAGTGCATATACACCCAGAAATACACATCTTTCAGTGCATATACACCCAAAAATAATCAAATATACTCACCTAGCCTAGTCTTGGGTCCTGCAGAACACCGTGGCGACTGACACCAGTGGTGACCGAATCTTCAACTACAACCCGAACTCCATCCGCGACGACTTCGGTCAAGGTCGTAGTCACCACTCCTCTAGGATGCCGCTCTCCATCTCCTTCGAGGACCCACGACAACAGCGAGACGACTTAGGCGACGGCGACGATAAACGACTCCCAGCCTATGACCAGGTTACTTATTCCAGACAACCGCGAGAGTCCAGTGCCCAAGTCTATCCCCGACCCTCTAGAGTGCCCAACACCCAGATCAACCTGGGCACCCAGTCAGGAAGGCCTATCATCTTTCCTGATACATCTTACCGCCCCCCCATCTACCAGAGTCCACCTCAGCAGGTAAGCACCTTAACGGATCTAACTAGGTCAACAGAAACTATTGAATCAACATACTGTCGTATGTGACTGCCTCTTCAAAAACAGTGATTATGTATGAGTGATGGTGTAAGTATTGAATAGTGAAGAAAGTTTATCCTATCTTTTGGGGTTTTCCTTTCCTTTTGGCCTCTGTGGGAAACGGCCGTAGGTTTAAATATATATATAAATATATATATTATATAATATATATTTTATATATATATAATAATATATATAATATATATATATATATAAATATATATATATATATATATATATATTTAAACCTACGGTCGTTTCCCACAGAGGCCAAAAGGAAAGGAAAACCCCAAAAGATAGGATAAACTTTATTCACTATTCAATACTTACACCATCACTCATACATAATCACTGTTTTTGAAGAGGCAGTCACATACGACAGTTTAGATGTCCCTCCAAACTGCCAATATCCCAAACCCCTCCTTTAAAGTGCAGGAATTGCACTTCCCATTTCCAGAACTCAAGTCTGGCTAACCGGTTTCCCTGAATCCCTTCGCAAACTATTACCTGCTCACACTCCAACAACTCGTCAGGTTCCAAGAACCATTCGTCTCCATTCACTCCTATCTAACACACTCACGCACGTTTGCTGTAAGTCCAAGCTCCTCGCTCACAAAACCTTCTTTACCCCATCCCTCTAACCTCCTCCTAATTTCCACACTACGAATTATTCTCTGTATAATATTTACACCATACATTGCCCTTAGACACGACATCTCCACTGCCTCCAACCACCTCCTCACTGCAGCATTCACAACCCAAGCTTCACACCCATATAAGAACGTTGGTACCACTATGCTCTCGTGCATTCCCTTCTTGACTCCAAGCATAACGTTTTGTCTCCACATATACCTCAATGCACCACTCACCTTTTTTCCTTCATCAATTTTATGGTAAACCTCAATCTTCATAAACCCATCCACTGAGAAGTCAACTCCCAAATATCTTAAAAAACATACGCTTCTTAAATACTCCCTCTATCCAATGTGATATCCAGTTTTTCTTTATCTAAATCGTTTGATACCCTCATCACCTTACTATTTTCTATGTTCACTTTCAACTTTCTACCTTTACACACCCTCCCAAAGTCGTCCACTAACCTTTGCAACTTTTCTTTAGAATCTCCCATAAGCACAGTATCATCAGCAAAAAGTAACTGTCAACTCCAATTTTGTATTTGATTCCCCATAATTTAATTCCACCCCTCTCCCCAGCACCCTAGCATTTACTTCTATTACAACCCCATCCATAAATATATTAAACAACCATGGTGACATTACACATCCCTGTCTAAGACCTATTTTACTGGGAAGTAGTCTCCCTCTCTTCTACACACCCTAACCTGAGCCTCACTATCCTCATAAAAACTCTTTACAGCATTTAGTAACTTACTACCTATTCCATACACTTGCAGCATGCCACATTGTTCCCCTATTCACTCTGTATATGCCTTTTCTAAATCCATAAATGCAATGAAAACTTCCCAACCTTCATCTACTGTTCACATATGTGCTTCAGTGAAAACACTTGATCTACACATCCCCTACCCATTCTAAAGCTTCCTTGTTCATTTGCAATCCTGCTCTTTATCTTACCTCTAATTCTTTCAGTAACAGCCCTAGCATACACTTTACCTGGTATACTTAGTAAACTTATTCCCCTATAATTTTTACAATCTCTGTTGTCCCCCTTCCTTTTATTCACTCTTTCTGCCAATCCCTAGGTACCTTCCCCTCTTTCATACATTTATTAAATAAAAATACCAACCACTCCAACACTATATCCCCCCTTGCTTTTAACATTTCTGTCATGATTCCGTCAGTTCCAGCTGCTTTATCCCCTTTCATTCTACGTGATGCCTCACACACCTCCCCCACACTCACATATTGGTCTTCTTCACTCCTAAAAGATATTATACCTCCCTGGACAGTGCATGAAATTTCTGCCTCCGTTTCTTCATCGACAATTAAAAGTTCCTCAAAATATTCTGACCATCTACCCAATACCTCCAGCTCTCCATCTACTAACTCCTCTACTCTGTTTTTAACTGACAAATCTATTCGTTCCCTAGGCTTTCTTAACTTGTTTATCTCCAATTTTTTTTCTTATTCTCAGCAAAATTTCTTGACAGTGCCTCTCCCACTCTATCATTTCCTCTCATTTTGCACTCTCTCACCAGTGTCTTCACCTTTTTTTAACTCTATATACTCTGCCTTTCTTATATCACTTCTGCTTTGTAAAAACCTCTCATAAGATACCTTTTTTTCTCTTTTATTGTACCCTTTACCTCGTCATCTCACCAATCACTCCTCTTTCCTCCTGCACCCACCCTCCTATAACTACAACTTTCTGCCCCACATTCTAATACTGCATTTTTAAAACTATTCCAACCCTCTTCAACCCCCCCCCCTACTTATACTTGCACTAGCCCACCTTTCTGCCAATAGTTGCTTATATTTCACCCGAACTTCCTCCTCCCTAAGTTTATACACTTTCACCTCCCTCTTATTTGCTGTTGCCATTTTCCTTTTGTCCCATCTACCTCTACCTCTAACTGTAGCTACAACTAAATAATGATCCAATATATCAGTTGCCCCTCTATAAACGTGTACATCCTGGAGCCTACCCATCAACCTTTTATCCACCAATACATAATCTAACAAACTACTTTCATTACATGCTATATCATACATTGTATATTTATTTATCCTCTTCTTCATAAAATATGTATTACTTATTACCAAACCTCTTCTACAACATTTTTACCCACTTTAGCACTGAGATCCCCAACCACAAGTACTCTCACACTTGGTTCAAAACTCCCCACGCACTCACTCAACATTTCCCAAAATCTCTCTATTTTTTTTTTTTTTTTTTTTTTTACACAGGGTTTGGCAAGGTTAAGGATCCCTAGTTTTATTGACAAGCTATTTACAGGTTAAGGATTCCTAACTTTATTGGCAAGCTAAGAGCTGTTACCTACATCAGCTTATTTAAAAGCATTTTTATAGTTGAGACATACAAGTAGGGAACAGGATGAAGTTGGAGCCATCTGTGGGCCGGCATTTTCATTTGATCAACTGACGTTATCTAGTTGACATCATTATGCTGTACGAATGTGTTCCATACTCGAGTCATCCTGGGTATATATGATCTCAGATGGAGTGATGTTCTGGAGAAGGGTACAGCCAGAGTGAAGTTGCTGCTTTCTGCCCGTCTTGTGGCATAAAAGCTTGTTTCACGCTGTCCTCGAAGTGGATCCAAGTGTGGTACTTTGACAATATTGGCCTTGTACATAACAGTAAGGCCACCCACATCCCTCCTGTGTTGAAGGCTCTGCTGAAATGATAGATCTATCCAGGATGGGTCCAGGCGAGAGATGAGACGTCTTGCTCTGTTCTCTATTCTGTCAAGCAGTCGAAGATGAGAGGGGGGGCAGGCAAACCAAGAAAGTGGGGCATACTCAATGTGTGAGCGTACTTGTGCCTCGTACAGAATCTCTCTCTCTCTCTCTCTCTCTCTCTCTCTCTCTCTCTCTCTCTCTCTCTCTCTCTCTCTCTCTCTCTCTCTCTAGTTCGCTCTCTCTCCTCTACACCTCTTTCTTCTCCAGGTGCATAAGCACATACTATAACCTACTTTTCACATCTAACCCTTATTTTACACCACATAATCCTTGAATTTGTATTCCTTCTTTTTCTGCCATAACTTATCATTCACCATTATTGCTACTCCTTCCTTAGCTCTAAATCTGTTAGAAACCCCTGACCTAATCCCATTTATTTCTCCCCACTGAAACTCTCCCACCCCCTTCAGCTTTGTTTCACTTAGAGCCAACACATCCAGCTTCTTTTCATTCATAACATCCACAATCATCTCTTGCTTATTCACACAACATCCACGCACATTCAAACATCCCACTTTGACGGTTTTCTTCTTTTTCATTTTAGTAAGTTATACGGGAAAAGGAGTTATTAGCCCATTGCTCCAGGCATTTTAATTGACTTTTACAACACGCATGGCTTACGGAGGAAAGATTCTTATTCCACTTCTCATGGATATAAAAGGAAAACTAAAAAGAACAAGAACTATTAAGATAAAATCAAAGAAAAATCAGATGAGTGTGTATACATAAATGCATACATGTATGTGTAGTGTGACCTACACATTGATAATAATAATTATAAAAGCAATGTTAACTAAACTAATAATAATAACAATAATAAAGTCTACCTTCACAACTGGTGACAGGTGTTTCCTGGTGGTGATGTTGGTGGTGGTGGTGTTGGTGGGTCCTGGGAGCGAGTGTGGGACTCCCACCTGCTGGGTCATTCCTTCAGTGTGGTCAACGCTGCCCTCAGCAACCTCACCTGTGTGGCCGCCTCAGTCAACGCCGTGAGTACCACACCTTCCTCACACGCTGAGGCACCAGTAGTTCCTTAGTGGAATTAAAAGCCTGTCGACGGCTGCATCTATCTTTTTAATTTCTCTTCTCTTTGTACTAAATTTATATTATATTATATTTTCTCTACTAATAGTTTCACTAATTTTTTTTCTTGAAATATATCAGTCGAATTGAACTTTTATTGTAAATATTTTGCTTCAGATCGACGGTGATTTGAACATTAAGTTCGACTCGTTCTTCAACTACTACAACACCAGACCTGTGGATCAGCTGCTCAGGGCCGACCTGGCCGACGGTGTCAACTTCTGTAGAGCTTTCACGGTAGGGACTGACTCTCTTACTCTCTTTCTTGACTGAGGATATCCAGAGTTGTGGTTCTCATTTCCCTGGACCGCGGATCAAGTTCCCGGCCGCCGGTGAAAGAATTTAAAGATAAAAAAACATGTAATTACTAAGACAGGTGAGAAACATTTAGGTGTCTTCATTTTTGAAACATTTCGCCTGCGTGGCAGACTTCTTCAGTCGAGTAGAAGCGATTATAACAGTAGAGACGGTAGAAAAAACAGAGAATTAATTTTTTATGGTGATTCCTATAAGCGGTCAGTCCCTTAACTGAAGAAAAACAGCCAAGTGTTGGATGTCTTTTTTTCAGCTTTCCAGTGTTGTATACCACTTATCATTCTCTTTCTCACTCTCTCTCTTTCTTTCTCACTCTCTCTCTCTCTGTCTCTCTCTCTCTCTCTCTCTCTCTGTCTCTCTCTCTCTCTCTGTCTCTCTGTCTCTCTCCTCTCTCTCCCCTCTCTCTCTCTCCTCTCCTCTCTCTTTTCTCTCTCTCTCTCTCTCTTTTCTCTCTCTCTCTCTCTCTCTCTCTCTCTCTCTCTCCAATTCCTTTTGTTCAAATTTATTTCATTCTTTAACATAAAATCTGACTCATCAAACTGTATATGAATGTAAAATGCTAAAATTAATCTCTCTTTTCATCTATATAATTTCTCCATTTATTTATTATTCTTTCTATGCATCTAACCAGATATTCACTTATGACCATTCCTTCCATTCGCTCATATATTCCACATTTTTCTAATTACAAAATGCTAACACCAGCCCCTGGTTTGTGTGTGTCGCTCCAGGAGTGTCTTCCAGTGGAGAAACTCAAGACTCCACTCCCCTGGAAACTGCAAAGATTCCTGGCCTTCCTCAAGTGCGAGAGGAAGTTACGCTTGGCCTCGTGTTTCAAGCACGACCTCAGGAGCAACCTCGCCTACTTCGACCTCTCGGCCCTTCCTGATGAAGGAGGCAGGAGCTCTGGTATCGACGTTCTTATGACCGTTCTTGTAGGAGCGGATTCCGTCGATGACTTACAGATGTTCTAGTCTCCTTCCAGCGTTTACTCCCTCCCTCCCTCTCTCTCTCTCTCTCTCTCTCTCTCTCTCTCTCTCTCTCTCTCTCTCTCTCTCTCTCTCTCTCTGTCTGTCTGTCTGTCTGTCTGTCTCTCTCTCTCTCTCTCTCTCTCCTCTCTCTCTCTCTCTCTCTCTTCCTCTCTCTCTCTCTCTCTCTCTCCTCTCCGTCTCTGTCTCTCTCCGTCTCTGTCTGTCTGTCTGTCTCTGTCTCTCTCTCTCTCTCTCTCTCTCTCTCTCTCTCTCTCTCTCTCTCTCTCTCTCCTGCCCTAGATTGGAACTGGGTTTATCTAGAGCGTAGAGCAAGAACTTTGCTGGAAAAAAACTCTAAGTGGCTGAGAGACACATTCTCTAGAAAATATTTTGTAATCCGATTTTCTGAGATACCTCAAAGAACTAATATTTTTTACTGAAGAAGATTTACCCTACACTTAAAATTATATACGAAAACATTTTGCTGGCAATACTGAAAAAGAAAGACAAAGATTTCTCTTTGTGTAGAGCTTCGTAAACCGACACAATGGCCCGTATTTCCTTTCTGAATGTAACATTGCGGTGGTGTCTGAGGACGCTAGCATTGCTTTCATGTGACTCTTTGGCTCAACCAAGATTAATTTTCATTATTCTCGAGTGTCGGCCGGACTCAGTGACCCCCACAGGCACTTCTGGACCAAAGAATGTCTTCAATAAAACTTTTGTGCTTGTCTGATGCTTTAATTTCTAGCCAGCAGTGAAATGTAACTGATTAATCTAAATTCAGCTGTGTATACCTGGAGTATACCTGGAGAGGGTTTGGGGGAACAAATGCAACACAGTGGTGTAAGGCGGAAGCCTGGTAAAAGTCTTGCACTCTGACAAAAGAGCTGGTAGGTAAATCTTTCAAGTAACTTCTTACATTTGGTATCCAGTGATTTTCCCGTTCGCTTCTTAACAGTTCTTGTTAGTGGTAAGTTTGTACTTAAGGAGATCTGGTCTGTGACTGAGCGTAGGGGGCGATGATTCTCGGAAACACTGAGAGACGACAGACAACTCACAGTTATATGCATAAGAACAGGGATGAGAATACTCCCTCGTAATAGAGGTGGATCCCTTGTTGTCAAGAACATGATTGCTCACCTCCGCTCCCATTCCTCACGAACCCTCACCCCCAAGACCCATCACCTCCCACCAACCCCCCCATTCACATCCTCACTCCCCTCCCACACCCAATGCCTCCCCTCCAACCCCCTTCTCTCCCATCTTCATATATTCTAACATGTCTTTCCCGTTTCCAAGCAGTTAAACACACACACACACACACACACACACACACACACACACACACACAGGCAAGAGACAGAATGGGCGAAAGAGACTACATAGTAGTTACAGTTCAGTCTGGGGGACATAACATAGTCATTGCAGTGATGTACAACCCGCCACAGAACTGCAGGAGGCCAAAAGAAGAATATGAAGAGAGCCGAGATGGCCAGAAAAGCTCACACGGATAGAGCACAGTTACTAGTTATGGGTGATTTCAATCACAAGGAGATTGACTGGAAAAACCTGGAGCCACATGGGGGTCCCAAAATATGGAAAGCCAACATGATGAATGTGTTACCGGAAAACCTTATGCATCAACATGTTAGGGACACTACCAGAGAGAGAGAGGTGAGGATGAACCAGCAAGACTGGACGTAGTATTCACCTTGAATAGCTCAAAAATCGAGACCATTACATACGAAAGGCCCCTTGGAGCTAGTAATCACGTGGTTCTGAGCTTTGAATACATAGTTGAGTTACAAGTATCAGGAGTTGGACGGGAGAAGCCAAACTACAAAAGGAGCAACTACACAAGCATGAAAAACTTTCTGCAGGAGGTTCAGTGGAAAAGAGAATTGGTAGGAAAATCAGTAAACGAAATGATAGACTATGTGACAACAAAATGCAAGGAGGCAGAGTAGAGGTTTGTTCCCAAGGAAAACAGAAAAATAGGAAGACCAGAGCGAGTCCTTCGTTCACCCAAAAGTGTAGGGAGGCAAAAACTAAGTGCGCTAGAAAATGGAAAAAGTACAGAAGACAAAGGACCCCCCAGAAAAATAAAGAGATTAGCCGAAGAGCCAGAAACGAGTATGGACATTTAAGGAGGGAGGCTCAGCGACAATACGAAAACGACATAGTATCGAAAGTCAAGTCTGACCCGAAGCCGTTGTATAGCCACGTCAGGAGGAAAACAATAGTCAAGGAGCAGGTAATCAGGCTGAGGAAGGAAGGTGGGGAGTATGTTAGGAGCCTGACATGAGATTTAAAATAGTATTCACAGTGGAGATAAGTCAGAATACGGGGTACACCAACAAGTGCTGGATGAAATACACACAACCGAGGAGAAATTGAAGAAGCTGCTATTTGAACTTGATACCTCAAAGCCGGTGGGACCAGACAACATCTCTCTGTGGGTCCTTAGAGACGTAGCAGAGATGCTATGTGTGGCACTAACAAAAATCTTCAACACATTCATTGAAACTTGGCAGCTACCTGAGGCATACCTCACATAGTTGCCAAAATAGCAAATGTAGTACTAATTTTTAAGAAAGGAGACAGACACAAGGCACTAAAGTACAGACTAGTGTCACTGACGTGTATAGTATGCAAAATCATGAAGAAGGTTATCAGAAGGAAAGTGATGGAGCACCTAGAGAGTAACAATCATATAAACGACAACCAGCACGGTTTCAGGGAAGGGAAATCCTGTGTCACAAACCTACTAGAGTTTTATGACAAGGTAACGGAAGTAAGACACAAGTGAGAGAAGTGGGTAGATTGCATTTTCTTGGACTGCAAGAAGGCCTTCATTCCTCACAAGACGTTAGTGTAAAAGCTAGAGGATCAGGCACACATAACAGGAAAGGCACTGCAATGGATCAGAGAGTATCTGTCAGGGAAGCAGCAACGAGTCATGATAGGTGATGAGCTGTTTTTGGTATGTGTGAATGACTTGACGGAAGGGATAGACTCAGAAGTGTCCCTGTTTGCAGATGATGTGACGTTAATGAGGAGAATTGAATCGGATGAGGATCAGGCAGGATTTAATGAGACCTGGACAGGCTGCAAGCCTGGTCCAGCAACCGGCTCCTCGAATTTATCCCCGCCAAATGCAGATTTATGAAGATTGGGGAAGGGCAAAGAAGATCGCAGAGTATAGGCTAGGTGGCCAAAGGAGCTTGGGGTAAGTATAATACCGAGCACATCTCCTGAGGCTCACATCAACCAGATACCTACTGCAGCATATGGGCGCCTGGCAGACCTGAGAATAGAGTTCCAATACCTCATTAAGGAATCGTTGAAGAGTTTGTCCACCATGCACGTTAGGTCCATACTGGAGTATGTAGCATCAGTTTGGAACCCACACCTGGTCAAGTAAATCAAAAAATTAGAGAAAGTGCAAAGGTTTGCAACAAGACTAGTCTCAGAGCTAAGGCGAATGTCCTACGAAGAAAGGTTAAAGGGAAATCGGTCTGACGAAACTGGAGGACAGGAGGATTAGGGGTGACATGATAACAACATATAAAATACTGCGAGGAACTGACAAGATGGACAGAGACAGGATGTTCCAGAGATGGGACACAGAAACAAGGGGTCACCATTGGAAGCTGAAGACTTAGACGAGTCAAAGGGATGTTAGGAAGTATTTCTTCAGTCACAGAGTTGTCAGGCAGTGGAATAGCCTAGAAAGTGATGTAGTGGAGGCAGGAACCATACATAGTTTTAAGATGAGGTTTGACAAAGCTCATGGAGCAGGGAGAGAGAGAACCTAGTAGCAATCAGTGAAGAGGCGGGGCCAGGAACTATGCCTCGACCCATGCAACCACAAACAGATAAGTACAGGCACGTGCAACCCTCCGTGTTCAACATCTTCCGCACAACATTAAAATACTAACGTAATTGTCAGTTTCAGCACTCATAGTGTGAGTCAGCTCAAGGTATAAGTCAACTCACACTTCTATAATATGAGTAAACTCAGTCACACTGTGAGTTAACTTGACCTTTAATATTATGAATCAAATCATTCACTCAAACTTACACATTGAGTCAACTAACACACACACACACACCAGGAGCTAAGACTCGACCCCTGCAACCACAAATAGGTGAGTACACACACACACACACACACACACACATACACACACACACACACACACACAGATCTTGGGGTGAGTATAACACCAGGCACATCTCCTGAAGCGCACATCAACCAAATAACTGCTGCAGCATATGGGCGCCTGGCAAACCTCAGAACAGCATTCCGACATCTTAATAAGGAATCGTTCAGGACCCTGTACACCGTGTACGTTAGGCCCATATTGGAGTATGCGGCACCAGTTTGGAACCCACACCTAGCCAAGCACGTGAAGAAACTAGAGAAAGAGCAAAGGTTTGCAACAAGACTAGTCCCAGAGCTAAGAGGTATGTCCTATGAGGAGAGGTTAAGGGAAATCAACCTGACGACACTGGAGGACAGGAGAGATAGGGGGGACACGATAACGACATACAAAATACTGAGAGGAATTGACAAGGTGGACAAAGACAGGATGTTCCAGAGACTGGACACAGCAACACGGGGACACAGTTGGAAGCTGAAGACACAGATAAATCACAGGGATGTTAGGAAGTATTTCTTCAGCCACAGAGTAGTCAGGAAGTGGAATAGTTTAGGAAGCGAAGTAGTGGAGGCAGGATCCATACATAGCTTTAAGCAGAGGTACGATAAAGCTCATGGTTCAGGGAGAGTGACCTAGTAGCGACCAGTGAAGAGGCGGGGCCAGGAGCTTGGACTCGACCCCTGCAACCTCTACTAGGTGAGTACAACTAGGTGAGTACACACACACATACACGTCACATACTGCCGATGTTGTTGTTGTTGTTGTTGTTGTTGTTGCTGCTGCTGCTGCTGCTGCTGCTGCTGCTGCTGCTGCTGCTGCTGCTGCTGTTGCTGCTGCGGCTGCTGCTGCTGCTGCTGCTGCTGCTGTTGCTG